TAAAATAAAAATGGGCTTAATTGTGTAGTGATACTGTAATGCAAGTTGAATGAGCATGTTAGTTGATATATCCTTATATGTGTCATGATGTCATTTGTGGTGAGAGTTGATTGGTTCTTGCTTAACTTGATATCTAGAACTTGCCTTGTGTGTGTTGAATTAGTAGCTTGTATGACCTAGGGAATGTGATTGAGTTGTTTCTTTGAAATAGCCAATTCTTGATTCTACTTGTATGTCTACCATTGAAATTATCCCTAGTGAAGCCCCATTGAGCCTTTAGCCTTGTTTATTGATAAGCCACATGATAAGCCGTAATTCGTTTGTTTGATACCAAGTTCTTTTGATCCTAATAAGAGCCTTAATGCACTATGTTAAGAAAAAGGGTTGAAAATTGTTGGTTGAGATAATAAAGGGTGAAATGCTACATTGTGTGGAAGAAAGAAAGGATAAAAAAGATGTTTTGGCCCTGGTCCTTAGTGACAATGTGCACCTCAACTCAATTGAGGGTGGCTATTTTTGAACTATGTTTGAAACATTGGCCCTGGTCCTATCAAGGATAATGTGGACCTTACTCAAACCTTAAAATCTAAAGTGAGGGTGGCTAGTGTGAAGGCATGAAAAAAAATATAATAAAGGGCAAAGATGGAGCCACAAAGAGGGGTAAATATTCATGAAGTGTGTGCTAAGAGGAAAGAAAAATGAAGGAGATTGTTGGCAAGATAATGACATGTGCATTAGGGAGGTGTAGTCACTAAAAATTGTTCCCAAATATTTCCTCCCTTACCTTAAGCCGACATTACAACCAAATGAAAGTCCTCTTGATTCCTTGAGAAATATAATGCGAAAGTGAGAATACACTATTGGCAAGCTTATGGTATGCTGATAAAAGTAAGAACTTCTTTTGTGAGAGTGAGTTGATTGTTTGAAAAATAGGCCTTGTTGATATTGTAATTGATTGAGTGAAAGGCTTTACTAAACAAGAACAAGTGAGGGCATTCATGGCATGTGTAGGATTATCTAATTGATGTGTTTGTATGAGTTTGCATTAGCCCGAAAAAATAATAAAAGGTCATTCTTTGAGCATGTGTTGTAACTTGGTGTAATTGTTGTGACAGGTTGCATCCATTGTGAACTACAAGATCATGATTAAAATTGTTTGGTTGATTTTTAGGTGGGTTGATAAGTCCAAGGGTTGTGAAAAAAGAGTTGATAGTCTAGAGATTGTTTGAGGACAAACAAAAGTCTAAGTGTGGGGTGGTGATCTTAGGCATATAAATATGCCTAAGTTGTCAATATTTTCCCATGAATTGATTAGTTTAAAGAATGATCTTTAGTTATTAGCTTGATTTTTTGTGTAACTTGTGATGATTATGCACTCACACACGTGATTAGTTGTTTCAGGAACTCTCGAAAAAATTGAAGTTGAAACGAAGAAAGAAGGAGCAAAAACGAGCCAACAAACGACTAAGGCAAAAGGCACAAAGGTTGGCGCGCCGCGCCAGGGCCAAAAGTTCATAAAGACTTTTTGGGCGCATTGCTAGGCGCGACGCAAGTTCAGAGAACTTTCTCAGGCGCGCTGCTAGGCGCACCGTGCCAAAGGGGAAACACCTGCAACGACTGTTAGGCGCGAGGCTCCACGAAAATTTCAATTTTTCAACAAAAACATTAGTTAAAAGGATTCCTAATTTTAGTAGGTATTGTCTTCAACTTTCCCTACTATTATAAATAGATCCTTAGGGCTCCATTATTGAGGTTCGACTTTTATTGGGTGTGCAAGAGCAAGATTCCAAGTTTGTAATAGGTTTTGATCTTCTAACTCTTCTATTTTTCGGAAATCGCAAGAATAATTGTATTTTGTGGTTTTCTAATAGCATGAGTGGCTAAACGCCCTTGTTCTAGGGTTGTAGCTATGAATGAATTGTTGATTATTAAAGGCTTTTTGAATTAATTCTTGGTTGTCATTATAAGTTACTTCTATATTCTTGTTTTAGTATTTTATGTTTGCGCACCATAAGATAAATTTATTGTCTAATCTTAAAATCGAGAGAGGAGGGATTAGATAGACCAAAGAATATAGAGAGCTCGGTACACTCATTAGATTGAGGTGATTAGTGTTCAGAAGTGACGCCCAGACGAACACCTTGCTTGGTTACGAAACAGGATGAAATATAAATGCTCGTCAGTTAGTCTATTTATCCCCGCTCAACGATGTAGTTAGATAGCTAACTGGGGTAGGCGACGAGAGGTGTGAACCCGACTCATGTAATTAACTCTATAAACCAATAACTTGACAACTGAAATTAGTTCTAAGCCAAAAATATGATACATGAAATTCAATATATGTTGCAGCCTTGGAATTGTCTTTTACTTTCTTGAATCATCATATTAAAGTCGTTCACAATTGGTTACTTTTATTTAGTGCATAATTATTAGTAGATAACAATCATCACAATCTCTTAAACGGTTACTTTTGCTTTTATTTGTAGAATTAAGTGTTAAATATAAATTGATCATAAGTCCCTTGGGAACGATAACTCGTTTCTTAAAGAATCTATATTACTTGAGCGACCACGTACACTTGTGTGTATATTGGGGAGCAACAAGCACCATAGTTAACCAAACATATCTATGACAAACAGTTGAAGTGAAATTGCTAAAATTAGGTTTAACATATATGTATCCAAACATGAAAAAGTGAGGTACTAGTGCATCCTATCCTATTAATATTACCACTTAATGACCCTGTTTTTTTCCCCCACCCAATGCCTGATATTTGTATTGGAGTCTGACTATTTTGAATTCGCGTAGCATACGCTCCATTCAGGAGGAAGCGCTTCCGGCTAAGGCTCGAATCAAGACCTCTGATTAAGAAAAGATCAGTCTCATCCACTGATTAATGGCCCTAATTATTCTTAAGGAAGTTCCACATGAATGAGGCATCCAATTACATAATTTTGAAAGATTAATTAGGTGAGATATGAACACCTAGAGTATATTTTGTGTTAGAAATATGATTCTGCTTCTGTCATGCTTTATATTAAAAAAAGAAGTCCAAAAATTACACTAAATAATAAGGTTGTGGACCTGTGATTGGCCACATGGAGGAAGCAATAAGATTTGTGGGCCCGGCCGGGTTGGTGGTTTTCAAATGGAAGGAAATTGGAACGGGTCACTCATGTGGATCAATCAGGAACAATGTGAGAAGAAAATAGATATATACTCCCTTGTCCAATAATACTTATCAAACTATTGAATTTGCACATTTCTTAAGAAACTATAAATAGAAGAGTGATTTTACTATATCACCTTTTGAATATAATAAATACAATGTCTTGAAAAATTTAATGGAGAAATAATTATAATTAATGATAAGGGTAAATTTGAAACTAAGTGTAAAATTATCCATTGATTTCATAAATTGGACAAGTATTGCTGGACATCTCAGAATAGTATAGTGGACAAGTATTGTTGAACGGAGGAAGTGCGCGTATATATATATAAGACAACTATTTGAATAGTTGTGTCCTTTTAGAATTATAAAAGGGTTCTCACAGGAGAAACCAACGTATCTTAGCATTCTTTACAATTCCAAAAGAACAGACGCTTCTTCTCCTTCTTCCTTCTCCAACTCCATTAAAATTCGTGTGAAGATTCTTTGAAGGTTTCTTCTCCAAAAAGTATTGAAACGAACGGTTGTAACATGCATGATTTTAGATTGTGGCTTTATATGGTGTAGTTCGTGTTTACATACATGTGATTGTACTTTCTGATTAGTGAAACAATATTCAATTATCATGTAAACTAAGTGTTTGATTAGATTCTTCACAAATGAAAAAGGAGTTTGTAGATCTCGAAAATTACTAAAATTAACATTCATGTTCTTTAAATTCTAAGTGGCATTAGAGTTTCTTGGAGGTAATTTTCACCCTAAATTCGAGCTTATGCTTATAAAAAGGCTATACAAGGGTAATGTTACATGACCAAAAAATTAAAAAGTCTATAATATCCTTTTTTTCTTTAAGATAAACTGATTTTTTTATTAAAAGGGTAAAATGTTCACAAATGTACAATAAAATAGTGTGAATATATGTTATTTTACCATTTAGACCAAATTTTCTGGCCAAAAGAATTTTTCCTTTTTCCTTTTAAAAAATACTCTATTAATGACCCTCAAATCACAAGAAAACACAAAATACAAAATTGTACACACAATTTCAATAATAAAAATATTGTTTTATTTGCTTATAATTGCAATTTATTTTTCGTAGTTCGGAGAAAATTTATTGCAAATAATGTCTACATTCCTTGGGACAAGTTTATGGGAATAATACATGATTATATAGGTGGACTAAATTCGCACAGTACAAAATTGTGCTGTTTTTATAAATTACATATATACGAAAAGTAAAAATAATTGAATCACATTAATTGATTGGTCAATGGAACAAGGAATGACAATACCAAAATTAAATGCACGATTATTTTATCCCGCATTTAGTTATGAGTAGTAGTTAGACCCGAAAACAATATTGTACATAAAAAGTGGGATAATTCATCTCAGAAGTCATTAGATATCATTGTCTATCCCATCCAGGTAATCAAAGCAACTTCTTTAAGGTATATGACAATGCAAGATAAGAAATGCATCCCCCAAAACTATACGACATACATACCATGTATATTATAAAATATTTTTACCAAATTTGGTATACAATCTAATATTTTCTGAAATGGGTATTTTTTTCTGGTAATATTTTTGAGCCTCGTGGGCAAACAGTAAATGACTAAATTCTCCCAATTTATATTCTCTCCCTGACTAGTCTACAGTGACAAAATACAAGACTTTAATTAAGCCACTAAGCATTCAAGTACAGCTTAGTGAAATTGTCAAAAAAATTGCTTCCTGAGAGAAAGAAAGAAAGGAGAAATTTGAATGGCATCATGATACAAATTAGAAAGAACAAAAAATTAGTAACGAACGTTGATAGAAGGTCGAGTACCATTTGGTTCTGATAAGATCATGACGTCTCCTCCACTCGACTTCGTTTTGCAGAAATATGATCATTTTCTTTTGATGTATTGTCCAGCACTGTAGTACTATCCTTGTCCTTCATTTTGAAACTCCAACCAAGAAAATCTGACTCCGGAAACAACATAGTTGGAGTTGCTGTGTAGAACGCAAGGGGGACCTGTTTAACTCGCCTCCTAATCTGCAACGAGGTATTATAGTTAGAACGCTATTACATGGAACATTAACAGATATAGTAAATGAGGCAGATGGCCAGCATATGATAAAGGAGGATCTAAAATGCTTAAACCAGCAAAAGAAATGCCAAAAACCTGAGAAGAGATTTAATCTTACTATGACAACCCCTAAAGATAAATGGAAAAGAAACTCAGGCCATTTAACTAAATGAAACAATTCATCGGTTACAGAAGCAATCATATTAATGAAGAAAGTATGCAAGCCAATTGGAGCAAACTTCTCTAAGAAAAAAGTATTGTCAACCAAGAAGTGAATGATTATATAACCAAAACAAATACAGTTGTGTAGTGAACATTACCTCATCACCAAAAATTGTTGCATATGAACCAGAACTGAAATCTTTGACTGATACTTCAGTAGTTTTAGCTCTGACTGTCAAATCGTTCTCAAGGGACAAAACAAATCTAACACGTAAAGAAAAAAGTAAGAGACTTAAATCAAAGGCTCAATTAAACTAACCGTTAATGCACGTTGACACAGGAAAAGCTATAAAAATATGATACACTTACCTTGAAACTGGCGGGCAGTAGTGATGACGGAGTGTGTCAACTTCCCACAGAGAGCTCCCTGTAGAAAGGTAGAAATTTAACAAATCAAATAAGTCAAGAATAGTGTTATAAACAAATAAAAGGAAAAACTTTACATTGAGGAACGCGAACACTTCTTCTTTTTTTGAGAAGGTAACAATTTGTATTATAAACCAGTACTTATGTAGTACTAAAAGCCCCTTAACAAAAAAGTATGAAAATCTAGGAACAAAAACAGCAAGCCTAGCATGATTCTAATACTTCTAGGATTGCTTCTGCATCTACAGGGGAACTCTTTGTATACCAAAAACATAATAACAGAATACAATCTGTTTTGATCAAGTTACAAATACCCCAACACCCAAACATTTCTAGTGACTAAAGCAAAAACACTGAGAATGTTGGTCCATAAAACTTAACATCCACTTAAAGGTACACTTGATCAAGTTACGCTAACAAAACAAAAGTTGAAATGCCAAAGAAGAAATTGCACTTGTTCCCAACACCAATGCAAAGATCATGTAGCTAAGAAAGGTCAAGTAATTCCTTGGCCATCCCTTTCCACCAAAAGAAGAAAGAAAAGTATTCTCCACCAAAAAAAAAGTAATACTACTAATAACCAAAAAACAAAGACAAGTACCAATTCAAGTTGATTGGGGACTTTGAAAAGCCTTTTAATTGATTAGAAAGAAAAAAGAGGAGATGGCAAAATTGATATAGGAATACCTTTTCAACTCAATTTAGAAAGAAACAAGAAGTGGTATACGAGACTGTGGTAGCTGAACAATTAACTTTATTTAAAAAATTGATTTTTTTTGTGAAATTGCTGAATGATTGAACTTTAAAATATGACAACTAATGAAACAAGAAAATTACTCATTGCGTTAGTCTTCAAAGGATCAGTCTGCTTGTCATCAAAAGGATCAATGCTAGGCTTGACGCTCGACATTTCTCTGCTGGGACTGGAGGCTTCAGTGCTATCATCGTCAGCCCCACTCTCTGCTCCTGTAGTGTCTTTAGTAGTCTCATTACCATCCTCCTACAAAGAATTTTTATCTCAAATATGAGTTTTACAACTGTCACAATGATGAGGCAGCAGGCAAAAAACTTTACTATTGACATTTTCCGAGCAGAAATATTTTGCACTTATGTGTGTCATCCATTCATTAAAAAATAATAACTATTCCCCAATCCCAAAGCAGTTGGGGTCAACTATATGAGTGTTGTACATCCACTCTACTCAACAAATTAGTCTTCCACATAAACTAGGGGTTCTCTAAGTCTCACTTTATCCCTTCACTGTCCCACATAGATACGACATCTCAAACAATGACTTCAGCAGAAAAATAGGGCAAGACTCCATAGTCTTACCTGGTGCACCAAGCAATTTATTGAAGGATGTCTCCGTAAGAGATTATGAATTAGAGCAATAATGACTAATGCTCCTGAAGGAGGGACAGCGAGCGATATCCGACTGAGTTTTTTACAAAACGCAGCCGCCAAATATGCAGGAAGAAGTGGTGATTTCAGGCACGAATCAAGAAGCTGCAAGTGACATTCTGTAGTTAGTGTCCATAAACATAATAACTAGATCTGACATATTGCGACATATTGAAAAAGGTATTTCCATCAAAGACAATAAAGCAAATTAATTGACAAGTAAACCATGCTGTACTGGCATCTTCTTTTATTGCGCTCAGAAATCAACTGATTTTTCAATGAAGCAATACACAAAATATCACATAATTCAGATATCCCCTTTTCTGCTTTGATCAGATCAGTTCAGAATGCAATTCTCCAGAGAACCAATGATGGAACTACGATGAACGTTATGAACCTAAAATCCACTTCCTAAACTACAGAGATGACAATAATCTTAAAACCATATGCAGAAAATGTAGCATATGCAGAACATTTCCAAGTGTACAGTAATTCATACTTTCATTGGAAGCATGAAACAAAGATGCACATATTTTCAGCCGAAGTACCTGCCCTCACGTGGAAATTTATGTTACATATGGGATTTAGTATAGCAGCTCAAGTCAAGAAGAACTCCAAACCAAAACCTTTTAAGCACAAACTACAATCCCTCAAAACAGAACTGATAGTCTGATAGTCCACATAGCAAACCAATACAAAGAGGGGAACATATAAGTTTTTGCTATTACCTGGAAGAACTTTGCCCTATGTTTTGCCATAAAAATAGAAGGTTCCAATAGAGCATAGAGCTTTTCATAGAAGTTGGGGTATTCAAGACTATGTTGTGTCATGAGAACAAACAAGCTGCTAAGAGCCATCACACTGACTACCCCACCAATATCATATGACCGCGTTAAGAAATCACTGCATATGAAAAAGTACTGCAGTTACTCAACAAAACTTATCAAGTATGAAAGAATAGAATCAATGAGACAAACAAGAAGAAAGTACAATGTGTTACCACAACATAAGAGGATTAGACAGATAGGGAATAACAACTTGATGAAGGTTAACCAGAACCTGAGATCAGAAAGCAAAAGAGAAAATGTTAAAAATCACCATAATAATCGTGTTTCAGGAGTAAAAAAGCAAAACAGAATCACAAACAAAGCTGGCTGTAGAATAATACCACTTCAACCAAATTGTTAAGAGGGTAAAACAACAACATACCCAGTGTAGTCCCACACAATGGGGTCTAGGGACGGTAGTCTGTACACAAACCTTACCTCTACCTCGGAGGTGATGTAGAGAGGTTGTTTCCAATAGTCCCCTGGCTCAAGACGAAGACAAACTAGGAAAAGCCATAATGGAAGTACAATAGACTATATCTAAACAAAAACAACAGACAGTAACATACCAATACTATAACAATGTAATACTACAAACAAACTACATGAAATAATAGATATTTCACAAAAATCGAGGAACAAGAAACTACAAGAGTAATCCTACGACCACTAGTAAGGACACAAGACAAAGCACTCCCACGAACTAGTAGGGACGCACTCCTACATATTAACCTTCTCCGCTAATTCGCATCCTCCACACCTTCCTATGTAAGGTCATGTCCACGGTAACTGCAATTGTGTCATGTCATGTCTAATCACCTCTCCCTAATATTTCTTTGGACTACCTCTGCCTCTCATGAATCCATCCACAACCAATCACTCACAACTCCGCATTGGGGCATCCGTGCATCTCCTCCTCATCACATACCCAAACCATCTCAACCTCGCTTCTCGCATCTTGTCCTCAACCGAAGTCCCCCCCACCTAGTCTCAAATATCCTCATTTTTAATTCTCTCTTCTGATATACCCACACATCCACCATAATATCCTTATCTCCACCACTTTCATCTTCTGAATGTGAGTTTTTGACTGGCCAACACTCCGTGCCATACAACATAGTTGGTCTAACTATCGCTCTGTAGAACTTGCCTTTATTCTAGGTGGCACCTCTTATCACACAAGACTCCGAAAGCCATCCTCCAATTCATCCACACACTGTACAAATACAATGAGTGACATCCTCGTCAATCTCTCAATTTCCTTGGATAATCGACCGAAGATACTTGAAACTACCTCTTCTGGATGATCTGTCATTAGAAAAATTAATGTGACATAGATTTTACTTTTCCGCCCCAGAATTGCTCCCCATCGGCTTTCAAAGGCTAGTTGAGGTTGGTCAAAGCTATAGTAAGGATAAAGTTTCACAATTTCACGATAAAGATAAATTCATGAAAATGCTAAATCATATATAAAGGGACTATTAACAATAGGATGCATTTCTATTTCTTCACATAAACATGCTATGCACTACAAAACTTTGAAGGTCAAATAAGAATCAAGGTGTAATATGACAGCATCACTTACACAACTTGGATCAAGAGATACCGGATAAGAAAAGAGGAGAGGAGCAGAGATCATGGAAGCACAAATGTTCCCGGAAAATGGAAATAAAAAGATAATACAAGTACCAAAACCCTGTTCCAATGCATGAAATAGATATCCAGTCAATGGAATTGTTATTCACCTCTTTGTAAACATCAACAGGAAGTGTTAGTCTAAGGAATGATATCCAGGCTTTTGTAAATTTCAGTTTCATCTTTTTTGCAATGTTGGCTGGAGATAGAACCTGAAGATCACAAAGCATTTAAGATATTAGCTTGCATGAAAACCCAAAGAGAATCAGTAGATGTCCATAAAGGAACAATCCAACAATGTGAGGTACACAGAGGAAAAGGTTCTTTTTTATTCTTAATTTCTTTTCTTTTTAAATCACAAGGTTTTTTCACTAAATACCTTGATATTAGTTGATTCACCCTTGCGCTGCTTTCCAGTGTGTCCTTTGTCATTTTCTTTTTCAGTAAATATACCTAAATAGGATATAAATATAAAATCAAATCACTAGGAAATAAGACAAAAACATCAGGTAGAATATGTCATATTTCAAGCAGAATATGTCATATTTCAAGCATTGGCAAGAAGAATGATATGGGCAGCTTGCTATAGGCCTAAAATAGTAAAAACTAGAAACTGCTAAAACTTGAATTGTACAATCCTGTCAAATGAATGTTTCAAAAATCAAAACCAAATAGAGTGATATATGCATCGTATACACATTGCACCTGTGTGATTGGTATTTTACTTCCCTTGCTTTGCAAGTATCTAGCTACCACTCTCAGGGAACGCAACAACCAAGAAAGTAGAGTCAAATTCAATTCATCGTCGCCCCTTATTAAAAAATGAAAATCCAATCCATTGTAGCTTGATCCATTGCCAGCAAAAGTTTTAGTTTTATTATAACTAGATGCACAGTTTGGAACTCGACTGATAATGAACTTGCCCTACTTTTCTCCAATCAAATTCCAGACTCTTGGAGTGTTTGAATCCGCGACTAGAGGTATTTGAAGTGACAAAAGTTTTACTAGAGGTAGCAACTAGGCGACCTGGTATTTGTTGGGACTTCTTTTAGAGAAGCCAAATGCAAGTGAATTCAATAAAAGGTGGGAATGATGTTATTTTAAGAAATCATAATGTTTTTAAAGCGATCATGTTCTTTTTTCTTTTAAATGTTATTTAAAGAGCTCTCACCATCATTCTAAGTATGGAACAATCTGAAGCAAAATGTCGGCCTCCTCCATGGGTAAGCCAAGTCATGGACAGAGGTCAAAGAAGCACACACATAAAACAGAGAGGCGCAATCCCAGCAAAAAGCAATTACTTCTTCAATTCTAAATTTAAGAAATGAGGAAAAGAGAGAGAAGGGGAGGAGGGGGGGCTTCATGTACAAATTCCTGTTCTATTTGTCTGTCTCCATATTCTCTGGTTTGTAACGACTCTTTTTGAGCTTCACTTGATATGCTACTTAGTCCTTTTAACTATTCATGATGACATTACCGTTTGTATACGGTGTCTTTTTTGTTATGCCAAGTGCAAGATCCATTTACTACATCTATCTAAGATCTGGTCAGATATATACAGATATGTGCTTTACATGCTACATGTCATATAAAAATCAATTGTGCACTAATCTCCTCCATGAAAGGTATCAAAAAATGGCTTAGTTGAGAGTTCCTTCAAAAAGCATTTGGATGTCACAGAAGAACAAATTATTGGGGCTTGATTCTAGAATTTAAAGTTCTAATGTTCCGTGATTTTTGTTTTTGCACTTTGGACGCATGGACTTCCAAAAGTATTGTGCACTTTTATCCTTGACCATGGACAAACCCCTCAAATCTTAATAGCTTTCATATTTTGAAGTTATATTTAGATGCCTTGTCATTGGGTACTTGAGATTTGTCGTTCTATGTAGAGCTTGAGCTACTTCATGTTTTGTGTTTTCGAATCTTAGAGCGTGCAACTCAAGACATGACATAATTGGTCAACTTCAAAAAACAAAAAATTAACATCAGGGAAATTGTGTAGGTCCTCTTACTTTTTGAATGCATCTTGTACATGTGGTTTCCCCATCATTAATAAATTTAGATACCTTATCCCAAAGAAAACAATGTAGGGCATTTATAATCTAAAAAGATCAAATCACTCATCAAACTATGAGCATTGCATTTCAGTAGCTACACTAAAAATGCAATCATACAAAGATACCTCAATCGTCAATATTAGTTGGGGGCTAAAAATGCATGTACTCAAAATGCAATCATAATTAGACTGTTTCTACCCTGATCATCAACCCATCGCAATCCTTCCTCCTTTATACGGTTCTTCAAACCGACTTACTTTGCCAACTTAATACAAAAGGCATAAAAATTGCAAATACCCAAAATATAAGGCCATGAAGTGTAATCTTTATATCAGGACCATGAAATGTGATCATTTCAATTGCAATACATCATTAAAAACTTAAAAAGCTATTTGTTCATAAGAAGAGATTACACAACAGTAAATAGCAAAATTAAATACTACTCCCTACGTCCCATTTTATGTGGCACCATTTCCTTTTTAGTCCATCCCAAAAAGAATGGCACCTTACTACAATTAGAAACAATTTATAACTTTAAAATTCCTCTTTTACCCTTAATGAAATGATTTACAACCACACAAATATCTAAGGATTGTTTTAGACCACAAGATCCAAAACTCTTCCTTTTTTTTCTTAAACCCCGTGCCAAGTCAAATGGTGTCAGATAAAATGGGACGGAAGGAGTATGATAGATCATGAAATCCGTTAGGACAAACATTCTTTCATATCTTAAGAGAAGTAGATGTGATATAGAGGCAAATGGAATAACATGGGCAGTGAAGTTCTTATAACCAACCCCAACTTGCTTGGGACTTGGGCTTATTTGTTATAATACTTGTTTTAGATGTCAAACATAAATGAAGCACTATGTTAGGATTCAACAATCGGTCAAGTGAAATTACCTGCAGGGTTCCACATATCATATTCTGCCTTGTCATCTGAACCTTCCAGGGGAGGGATACGAGATAGTAGATGAGATAACTTGTGAACTGATAGGTCCAAGCTTTAAATCATGAAAAACAAAGTTACAAAAGGAAAATCTTGAGCGCAATGTTTTGACATTAATAAACTAAAACCTCTGGGTAATCACTAGAGGTAAGAACTGCTTCTATGAGTTGAAAATACGTGGCACCCAAAACAAAAAACTGTCATGTACACTTTGTCAAATTGGATATCAAAGTATTTAATATACAGTACAAACATCTTATGAGGAAGATAAAAAGACAAGACTTCTACTGCATATTAAATACTTAGATAACTATCATGGATCTAAAAAGGTGATAAAGTTCGGTTTACAAATGGCAAGCCGGAACTAATCAAGAGTATATTTAAAGGATTACTTTGAACCGATCCCCAAATATAAGAGATCATTTTTATCAGCTATTTCAGCTTTACCTTTTGCATTAACATTAAATAAATTATTATTATTATCTATAAGAAATTATATTGGAACACTTGAAACATATCAACGAGAAAATGCCAAGGCAAAATAAGAAAAAGAAATTAATTTCAGATAATCATTGATAAAAGAGTCGTCGTTGGACCCTGTAGTTAAACATTTCTATAACAATCACTTTCTATAACGACAGTTCATTATAACAAGCAAATTTTCTTCGAAGCTGATTTTTTCATAATATATTCTACCTTTTAATAAATAATCTTTTATCTATACACAACTTTCACCATTGTACTGGTATACTTCTATAATTAGAAGTTTCATTGCATATCTTTAACCTAATATTCACCATCTGTAGCTTATTGATATTTTAAGTTCATATTCACCAACCAATCATGAAATTTTACTGATTGTTGGAGAAAAAAGATATTGAAAACAGAAGACAAGTTTTTACTCTGACTGCAAGATTCTTTAAGACCAAGTTGCTTCCGAGTTGAAATGATAAAAGAGATCTTCAAAGGCACTTCCAAGTTGGATTTCTGTGGCTCTATTAGAAATGCTATTTAATGCATACCAAGGAATGATAATTCCATTTTAACATGCTATTAGTGCTAAACTTAAAACTATTTCCAGGGATCACATAAAACCCACCATTTTCCAGGCTTATATAGTATTCACTAGTAAATGGGCTAGGGCAACAATAGTAGTTTAGATTTGCTAAATGTTTAACCTGGTAATTGTCCAGAAAATTAACCAGAAATACTTCTTAAATGTCAACTAATGAGAATGTATCTTTGTCAAGTTTAAAATTCAGATTTATGCAAGAAGACCTGTTGAAGTGAAAAACAATTGACACCTTAATTCAGATAGCCACAAAACTTGGCATCTATATAATTAGATAAGGATATAGAAGGTGAACTCTACTGTTTTTGAGAACCATTATGCAGATGACACTCTATGAGAATTGACAGGCAAGATGTAATGACCTGGAAAATACAATTTAGCTGATCCTTTGTCAGACCTATCACCTATGTTTCTTTAACATTCTAGTTATCTATATTCAATTTAGAAGTGCTGCTATAAAATTAAGAAAAATAAAAGGTCAAAGAATACAGTTTCAGGATAAATAAATCACACTGAAGCATCAAAAGTGGATGACATAATCACAATTCGTAGTGCAACAACATTAATTGCATTGGCTTTCTGTAACTCATCTACCATAGTTAATCAAATGTTATAGAAACAATCAGCATCCAATACAAAAAGAAGAATAATTAGAAATACATTAATTGTGTAAGAAACACTTTTGTATCATCCACTTGATAAAAAAAATTGTATTTTCCATTAAGTAATTTCTCACTGAAGGAAATAAGCATAAGCCGGATATTTAAGCCAACCTTGATTCTGGCTGATTCACACCGGTGGTGTCTAGTCTCTCCCTTCTATCGTCTGATTGTAGAAACAGCAAAAAAGGGATGAAAACAGGCACAAGATAAATACAAGAGGCAAAGACAGGATATCAACATATAGCAAATAAGGTAGTGATACCTGAGATATCATTGGCTCCTATGCTTCGGGAAAGCTTTTCAAAGCTGATATAAGTAAAATATCTGATGAAAGAAACCAACTGATCAGAAAAACATGTAAAAATCCCCTACTTCCATTCTCCTTAAAACTCCTACTTCGAATCTACCCGTACCCCCAACCTCATACAAGAAAACACAATCATTTGAGGACATAGTCTCCATACCTGATATCAATGTACTTAAAATACTTTGATGCGAGCAACTCGAGCAAAATATCATCAATTTCAAGGGATGAATGAACCTAAAATTTAGAAAGACAACAAAGTATCCTCAAATCAAATTCCTTGCATAAACTACAAAAGCAATAAATAAAAGAGGTGACTTACAATGTTATGGAGAAGCCTATAGTAAATAGCAGAGTGAAACTTCCCACCGTTTCCAACTTTCACAAACTCCATCAACGTGTCCAACACAACTTCCTAATCATCCAAACACGAAATTAACACACACACATCATATCCATAAATTGAAAAAAAAAAAAAAAAAGTCGAACTAGCACTTACTCTAAGTGAGTCATCGGATTGCGAACAGATTACAATATCCAGAAGTGATTGAACGAAGTCGTCAAACTTGGAACGAACCCATGTTCGATAAATAAACTCAGGATCACCTTGAGAGTCAGAAGTGAAGGAAGAGGATACGGTAGAAGAAGGGAGTTGGGGAAGTAAAGGAATGAAGAATGATTGAAGAGAAAGGAGAGATTCAAGTGTATATTTAGGACGAGTAGAAGGGGTGATGAATGAGAGGAGAAGAGGAAGGTTATTGACATGAGCTCTTGAAGAAAGAAGCTGGCGACCGAGGGTTTTGAGGTCCGACAGTGAGTATTTGTCATGCTTTTTGTTCTTCTTCTGCTTCTTTGATGGCATTGAAGACGCCATTGTTAACTTCTTCGAGCTTTGGGAGAAAACAGCAGAGCAAGAAGAAGGACGCAAAAGTGAAAAACGTTTAAATTTTAGGGTTTAAGACAATTTTAAATTCCTATTATACCCTTTCTTTGCTCCTCAAAATTTACTAAGATAAAAATACGAGTATCACTAAATTTTTTTTGCTTGAACTCTTAAACTAATTAATTTGTGCTATTTGTCTTTTTTTAATTTAAAAAAATACGAATTATTCTTTATAGCCAACTCTCCATAATCTCTTCAATTTTACAAATAGAATTAGAACTACCAACCAGGTTTGCGGTGGAAGTACTCCTTCATCCTTAAGCAGAGGGTCATATTGGAATCGTGGCCATCAACAAGCACTATGTCTTCCTTATTATAGGGATAATTGAAAGGAAGCTTAGTGAATATTGAAATTCTTACTTGATTACGGTGGGCAGGTTGTTGTATTCACAAATGGATGGCGCTTGGACATACAGAGGGAATGGGTGAGTCATCGAGTTGGAACTCACGTCACTACAGTGAGACCAACTCCAGCCAGTATCCTAGCGGAATGTGGTACCAGTTCGTTTCATGGGAACAATTACATACACAGTGGCAAGCCAGTACTCTCCCATGTTCAATAAGTGGAACTCATTAGTTGTCCGCTCTCAGGTTGGGTAGTAAGGGTCGGAGAAGGGCAATGACTCATTCTTAAAATCAGCGTTCTTAAGACTAAAGAGTCGGGTGGAAGGGGGAAAGCCCTCCGTTCCTGGTTCTCCTATAGTTGGATCCTTTAGAACCACAAGAATCCTTAGTTAGAATGGGATTCCAACTCAGCACTGGTCTCCAGTTCGAGCCCCGTGGTACAACAATCCTGACATTGATAGTGATGAAACATTGGGGCAATTTATTAAGTCACATGATTATTTCAGAAGGCTTATCTAGTGACAATGTTGTTTGCCATTGTTATTGATTTTGACACTTGTATTGGCTTTTTTGTTTATTCAAAAATGTGTCCTTGCTATAACGATACACATATGTTCCACAGATTCCAATATGTGCTTCAATCTGGACTTGTCCCTTAGCAGGAGTACTGGGCTTTTCTGCGTATCAAATTCTTCCATTCTGCCATGACCACAATCTTCTGCAGGTTTTTTTCCTCTTGTCTATTGTTCAAATAGCGCACTTTGTGTGTTGACTATAGCCAATTGTTGAATGTGTTGCATGCAAGATACTGAATTTGAATCGTTGCATTTACTTATATTCCTCATTTTATTGTCCTTATGCCTAAGGGTGCTTTTGTTTCTTTCTTTACAACTCTTTGGCCTCCCTTAATTGCTCACTGTTAGATGGCGGTTACATATAAACAAGGTGATTTTTCATTAATCGATACTTCAATGTTGTTGTTATTTCCCTGAGGAGAACTTCAGGTAATTACCAATTTTAATTTCACGTGATTTGTCAAGTTAAGCATGTATCATCCTTGAGAGTGATTTGATGACGGTATCGCAGGTTTAAGGAGGAGCTGGAAAAGAGAGGTTGCCAAATACGAACTTGTTGTAAAGTAAATTCCATAACAACAAATGAAGAAGGTTTAGCTTGATTATATCTTTTGACCTCTTGCAAGAGTCGTTGTGCTATTTATTTTTTCATAATAGTAGATGGGGCATATATCTATTGGAAAACGAATAGGCTAAAGGGCAATTTGTTAATTGTATAAACCTTGTCGCTTTATGTGGTTAAAATGTTCCTTTGCCAAGGTAAAATCAAAATTGATGAAGATTGGAAGAAATCACATAATATTTGCACCCACCTCAGTGACTACTAGGCCATAGCTTTTTGTCTTTACTTTGTTGTTTCTTTGATGGGATTCCTAATATACCACATTCATTTTCCCTCTATTTTACGACCATACTTTTGTATTTTGTTACAAGTATAAAGGATGAGGATGTTTGGGGGGAGGGGGTGAAGGCTAACTTGAGACATTAGTGGATTTTGACTGAAGATCAAAAGACATTATGTTGTCTAATCTTGGCTTCTAGCTTGTTGATTTGTATAAGAACATGTGTTTCTTAGTTTATATTCATTTGATGATATTCTTTTCAAGTGATAATGGTCTAGATAGAGGCGTGCTTATCAAAGGAAAAGCCTTCAATCAGCTTCTTCTGTTACCCTCAGATAGCTACAAACTATTCGTGACTCTACTGTAAACGAAAGAGCCCTTGCAGGTTGTACCATTGCTTTCAATGATGGTGCCAAAGAAGTATTTGATGGATGCATCATGGATGCAGATGCTCCAAGTACTCTGAAAATGTTAGGCAAAGAGGCAACATGCGATGAAACAAGAATACTGGGTGTTTTCCAGTATGTCGATAGGTACTTTCGTCTCCTTTATTGGAATACCTTGGCTTTCGTTCCTCTTTAATCTACTTTTATCTTTTTGGATTTTTATATATATACTTACGTCACTTATGTTGTTTATCTTCCTCTTTAATTTACTTTTATATTTGTATTCTATTAGTGGTTTGGTGAAGTACAAATTAAATGCATGTTTAAATGGTGGCTGGTTTTAGTCAATTAACAGCTACAACCAGCTGCCAGATTTCTAAGCTAATATGAAAATTGTACTGGAGGCCAAGATTAATTCTTAATCATTTCACCTTATAAAATTCTACCCACGAGCACGACTTATCTTGCTGAATGGTTGAAAAGAAGAAAGTTGGTGGATTATACCATAGTCTTAACAATATTTATGATGTTAAAAGGCAAAATCATTTTCTCTTCCTCTGTGACAGTGGTGTTTTTCTTCATTGTGACAAAACATTCCTACCTCACAACCCGACAACATGGAGTGCTTGTAACTTTCTTGGAACCATGAATAATAGAGGATGCATGACATATTGGCTCAATATAATCCAGGTGTGTTATCCACTGATTTTTAGGACATTCTATAGAAAGTAGAAGATAATGCTATGTAGTGGAGAGTTTTTTCTCTTGTAACTGCTTTCTTAATTTATGAGATGTCTAAATTTACATAATCTCGGTGACTCAAAGTTGCCTTATCTAGTAACTGTTGATCCTCCTCACTCACCATTGCATATGTTGCTTAAGTGAACAACACGCTACCCAGTCTTTTCAGTTGCTGCATCAACAATTTCATGTGAGCTATATCAAATCGAATGGAAAAGAGAAATATGGTTTTGTGGATAATATCAAGGTATATATCTCTTTTTATGGAGAGTTGTTTCAAGATAAATGTTCCTTTGTAACCTGCTATCTTGTGTGTCAGATATTAGACTTCAACTATGTTGAATTTACAGAACCAGTTCCTTTAACTGCAACTGGAAGGATTTTGCAGTTTGCATCGCTTACTATTGTCATTTAAATTATTTGCAGAACCTACAGTATGAAACAATAAAGTGTCTTTCTGTAGACTTTTTATAGCTCTCTACATTAGTCCTGGAAATTGCAGTTTATAAGTTTGAATCTATTAAGAGATTATAATGACTCTTCACAGATAAAATGACTATGTTTCTATTTACTCTTTTTTCAAAAAATGCTTCATTCATTTCTGACTCTTCATTCATACTTTATGCAAGCAATTGATCACAACAACCTAGCTAGTGTATAGGTTTAGTCATTGCCTTGCTTCCATAGGAAACCTACCGGCAACACTTGTAGCTTGAGTTGTTCTGATTTGTCTTAGCTTTCTTTTAGTGTACAAACTTTGTTTTCCGCCTTGTGTTTCACTCTTTATTTTTGTTCCAATACTTTCAGGATATGGCTTCCATGCGAATGGACTAAAGGTAGTACTACTGCTAATAAAAGCTCAACAAATTTAACTTTAAGAATCACTTTACTCTGAAAACAATTTGGAATATCACATTATGCTCAATAAATTTCCAGTTTTTGTTGTCCCTCTTGTCTCATTTGGATGATTGTCTACCTTGTGGTCCTCCTCATGTAGGTGTGGTTGTTGCAGATGGCATGCTTGGTATTTTAGATAACCCCAAGCATATGGTACTAACCTACCCTAAAATTGGAGCACGCCTCATTGTTACTAGATTTTTCAAAAGTTACATTCAAACATGATGCATAATGTGAGAGATGATAGTAATTTATTACTCAGAGATTTTTGAGTTTCTTTTCTAATAATTAAAGATATCTGGATAGTAACTTTATATGTTTTGGTATATAGCTAGTTGGAAGAAGGAGGTACAATTTTCACCTTCCAAGGCATAGAGAGTAAATGCTCACTGAAAATTTATCTTAGAATTCGTAGTATGCAGTTTTACTGGAAGATAAATTGGAATTTCTTAAAAAATTAAACCCGAAACAATAATGAAAAGTTTCTTAATTTTGACAAATTATGTAACATATCTTACAGGTTGCAACTCAAGCTGACATAAGCCTTGTTGATGCCTTTATTCTTGGGTATTTCTCTTTCGTTGATAAGCATGAAGGTCTTCTTAATCTTATCATGGTGAGGAATGACGTGATATATTTGTGAATAGTTTTTGTCGGGTTCTTAGCTTCATGGTTTTTTTGCAGATATTTATTGCCAACAGAGATTTGAAAGAATCTGCCAAGAGGTAAAATAGTTTACTGACTGAGATCAAGAAACACAAACTTTTGTTCATATGTTAAAGTTGATCATCACTTCCTGTAGCTCTGGAGGCTGGTGGACACCACTGCTTTTTACAGCAGCATTGTCATCTGCAAAATATTTCTTTCGACATTGTGTGAAATATAGAAAAATAATATTATTGAATTGTTGTTGTTTACATTATTACATTGAGACCCTATTTATAGACACTAGAATACAATCATTTACCAAGTAGGATACTATTTACTATTCATATTCCTATTTGTATTCCTATTCCTATTATAAATAGGATTGTATAAACCTATTTTTATTCTAATAGGATTGTATAAACCTATTCTTATTCTAATAGGATTGTGTAAACCTATTCCTATTCTAATAGGATTGTATAAACCCATTCATGTTCTAACACTCCC